ATTTTCAGGATTTTTTTGAAGACGAAAGCTGGTCCCCAGTGCAACTAAATAAAAATACAATTACTCTGCTCTCTGTCAAGCAAAAACAGCCCAATATAGTTTCAGTAATTCTTTGTTACAGAACAAAGAATTTTTTTTACTGCTATCAAAATGACCCTTAGTATAACAGATTCTCCCTGGAGCCCTTTTTGAATATCTAGTAATGTACTTTGAAGATGATCACAACTACACTTTGTCCCTCCTCTGTTATATAGGCTAAATGTCTCTGCTGTGAAGAGAAAATAGATTGAGACATCAAACACATTTGTAAAATACAAAATCCACTAGGTTGTATAAAAGAAGACAAAACCAGAAAAATTCTATTTGAAACAGGGCTGAAAATATCAAGCAAAAAATGAATGAACAATATGTACGTACAAGAAAAGAAATAATACTCTAACTTTGTGAATCTTTACATTTGTAACACTAATCATAAGAATATATCCAAACTTTTAATGAAATTTTTCATAAAACAAAGATTTTGAATTTTATTCTGTCTTGTCAGATTTTACTAAACTCAATTTTTTAATAAAAGTTCTAAAGAGATGGATTATTTCAAATTAAAATGCAGACACTATAAGGAACTAAACACACTGAAAATGGCACAGTGGTGAGAAAAGAGAATATGTGTGGCATTTCAGAAAAAAAGTGATGATGTGGAAATTTTATGATGCTCATAAGGAAAAATCTATCAAACAAAGGTCAGAACAAAAAATCTGTTCTGAGGAAAGTTCAGGTCAAATGAATGACAATGATGACAAACGAAATATTTGATCTAGTAGTAAAGGATGAATTAGGAATCTGGAAAAAAGGAGCAGAATAAAAAAAATAAAGCCAGCAGAGTTTTAGTATAGATATAGTATAGTATAGTATAGTTATAGTATAGATGTTAACCTTGTCTTGAAGAAGGGAGGAAAGATGTCAACCAGTAGACAAATCTCAACCATGAAAACTATGGGCAGTGGTAGTTGGAATAAATAATGGAAAAAATAAATAGATAGAATATACCCATAGTAATGAAAAAAGAATGGAGAAAGGACTGAAGATGGCAAAGAACACGAATGTGCAGGAAAAGGAAATCCTTTGCTCTTTTCCCTTGTTCACTGTTTGAGGCCTTCTGTTACCACATCTAGTCATCTGTTTATTATGAAGTCTTCTGAGAATTTGATGTATCTTAAGTGGGTTTCCTCACACATTATGGGCTATACTAACAAATAATGAAAACAAATAGTTGCTTTATCTTTTCTGAAAGACACACCTCTCATTTATACAATGAAAGCAAATAAACGAGTAGTCGAGTTTAGGCTTCTCTTCATGAAGTATTCTACTCATTTACTGAAGCATTGTGTGACTGATAAAGCTACCCAATGTAAAGACTATAAAAATAGAATTTTAATATAGCAGTGAGATTGCTTTAAAACTACTCACAGAAGAGCACTACGCTCCTTATTTAAAGCATAATATCTCCATAAAACACAAACTACACTATAGCTCTGACTGACTTGGGAACAAACAATATCCTTACACCATCAAAACCTTAGCAGCTATTCCAGCTCATTTGCTGGCTCCTGATGGGGCAGATGGAAATTTATTCGATTGTCATGTTATAAGGTGACAGCAGAAAGTGACAGAACTGTCATTATGGGTGTAGATGTTCACAAGCCCCTATGGAGATCTGCCAGTCCCACTTCAGTCGACTCAAGCTCTCGTCTCTGTTATCTTCACACTAACCTACTTGACCTCTATGCTTTCCACTATTATCTTGAATCTCCATAAAATATTTTGTGACCTCTATCAATTTTATTATATTTTCTCTTCTTGTTTCTACTTTACTTTTGTTACAATTAATCCTGATAAAACACTAGTTTGAAGTTTAAAATCAGACAGTTCAGTTTTTGGAAGTGTGCATGCTGTTTTTCTAGAGGCACGTTCCTCTTCTCTTTCTCTCTCTGCCTTTACTTTTCTCATGTTTTCTTTTCCTTTGCTCCTTTCTTCCTTCTTTTCATTTTTATTCAGCTCTTTCATGTAACATTTCCATGTACATGTACTACTTGAACTGAGCAGTCAAGAGCAGTTAATAGCTGGGATATCCTTGGAGGCAAAAATACAGTAATATTTGAAGTCACTAGCACTCTGCAAAGGAAAATGTAATCTATGTTTTTTAAAGACACTTTAATTGCTCAGCAATCATGCAGAACTGAGAAATATAGCTCTGCTTCCAAGGTAATAACTCCCCAAATTGCAAAGGTCACTTATTCAATACCCTTGCTATCTAGAAAAATATGACAATGACACCAGGACTCAAAAACTCAATTTTATGTTAATCTATTATTCACTATTAACTTTCGTGAAGTTTTTTTGTAATTCACATAACCTGCTGTGTGCTACTGTCATTTAAAACATAAAGACATCAACAAGCTTTGTTTCTAAATTAGAGAAGCTGTTCCTATCAAGTCCATCTATACACCCCTGATTCAGCTAAAACTAAAGTTAAAATGAACAGGAGTTCGGTATTAGTAAAGAGGTGGTAAACTTTAGCACATAGAAAAGGTATCAGTGCTAATTACAATCAGCTTTCACTGACCCTCAGTGCTTTTCTCTATAACTTTCCTCTCTTTTTGCATAATTATTCCATCAACTAAAAAGATTTCAAAGCTTTATTATGCTAATTTTATTTAAATTATTCACATATATATATATTTAACATTTAAACATAATCTTTACAAAGTTATCATGATATTATTAAAAGGACATAATCTAGCTAATGCACTGATTAAAGATTTCATAAAAATTGGAGATGTCTGTCATATTTGAACCTGTAGTACACCTGAACTCCTGAGCACAAGACTTTGTATCTCTGTTCCACTGCTCAAAACTTTCTCATTCTCTATTCAAACTGCCTTAAAGAAGGAGTCAAGCATGAGAGGATTCTCTTCAATCCTTTTTGTTCCTCTTGGGATCAAAATATTGTGCCACTGTATACTTAAAAACAGGTTCCTAGATTCTATTCAAAGATATTTGAAATTATGTTCAAATTACAGCAGTACTTTTGAAGGTTTTACTCAGAGTAATACTTCAAAACCTGGAATTACAGAATAATACTCATGTATGTTGTGTATGGGTGTGTGTGTGTGTGTGTGCCAAACAAACAAACCAATCATATCAACACTGGCTGTGATACCATACCTGTGTAATAATCAGTTGCAATTTGGGCATAAAACAAGAAAGTTTCTGTTCAGTACCATGGACAAGTACTTTCCACATCGTGCATGGGCACAGAAACAACTTACTCAGAAAGTACCTTTTGTTACCAAAAAAAACCCATACGCCAGCTTCTGTTTTTTTCAATATTAAAGTATCAGTCAATTCTTTCCCAAAAACATTACTGTTCTAATTAAAAATAAACTGTTAAAAAATCAGCATCAGAAAATACAGCAATGTAGATCTAGTTACCATGCCTAACTTGTTTCTTCTGCTAACTGGTCCCTTCCATTTCTCACCAGCAACAGAAAATGAAAACCAAAAAACCACCCAGGAACCTAAAAGGCGGGTTAAAATCCCCAAAGCTCTTGTCACTCCTTTTTAGCACAACTTGCCCTTACAAGAAGTATGAAATATTTACTACGCACTATATTTATCTTCATTTGTTATATCACACAGAAGATAAAAGCCTTGTATAAAAAATGGTGGCTTAAGACATTCCTTTTATCTTTTTCAATATTTTGTATGCGCATTTCCCAAGTAAATTACTATTGCACATACTAAATCAAGTTTTTCATAATAGTTTAATAATGCACTTTCATTTTGTTAAATTTAATAGTTATACATGTTTCATAAATCTCAACAGTCCCAACATATTTTGGCAAAATGCTAATAAAGTGATGGGCTTGGCCTTAATGAAAGTGCTAAGTTTGTCATTTAGTATCTGTTATTATTAAAGTACTAGTCAGGTTGTAATAAAACAACAAATTTTCAGTTTCATAGATAGTACTATGTAACTCAAAATTAAGAATAGGGAAAAAATTGTCATCTCAAATTTGTCAACCTTCTAAATCCCTGTTGTAACTACAGACAAATGCATTTTATAACTTGGTGCAGAGAATCAGCTGATACAATGACACTGGTATCAGAGACTTCATAAAATATACTTTCTCTCATCTATCCATTAAAATGCATTGCATTCTAATGTCAACAGTGACAGTTTTTAACCCCTATTCTCTGAAAGAAATTGTATTGCCATTGGAATTGTTTAAAGACACATGCTTGATGTGTCATATGTCTCACACTTCCTCAGATCATTTTCCGGAGTGTGTCACCAGTCAGTGTAGCTTGACGCTCATAATTTAAAAGTTATAGGTCCATGAAAATCAAAGGAAATGTGTTCAGTGTCTTAAATAAAATCCAAAATATTTTTTTTGTAAAAACAAGGTATGATTTTCATGAAAATAAATCACATTGTAATAATAAACTCAATATCCAGGTCTACATCAATACACGACTTAAAACAAAATGGCCGATCCACATACTGATCAAATTAAAAGCTTGCACTTTGGTTCTCCTTATAAACATTAATAATTTAGCAACACTGTAACAGGGCCTGCCAGCAAAAACAGTTCTCTATTAAAAATCCACTGATAACTCACATATACTCATAAAATATTCCAATTTTGCTGTCCAAAACCAAACAGTTTCAAGACTTTTTTGCTTTGTTTACTTGTTTGCTTTTTCTGTTTTTTTGCAGTTTTTGGATTTGGGTTTTTTTAATTTCAGCAATGCTGTTAACTTTCTTAAACATGCAAAACATCTAGAAGGAAGTCACAAGTTGTATTCTTAAAGTTCTGTAACAAAAACTTACCCTCACTTTTTTTTCTATCACCATTTTTTAAAAATTGAGTATCTTTCCGTTCATGCCAATGCACTTGTTGAAATGTTGGCTGTAACCAAACAGCAGCTGCACTTACCCCAGTGTTGTCATGGTGACGATGGTGTACCAGAAGGCTGCAGGGATGCTGGTGAACTTGCTGGCTGATGAACCTTTCTCTGCATAGTACATGACTGTGGCAAAGATGATGATGGCCATAGTGAGAGAGAACAGGAGGAAGCCTAACTCCGAGGCACAACTTTTCAATGTATAGCCCAGGATGCGCAGACCCTGTGAATGGCGGGAAAACTTAAAGATCCTGAAGACACGAAAGACTCTTAATGTCACAAAAGCCCCACTGACATCCTCGTTATCTGTCATCACCAGGCCAATGTAATATGGCATAATGGCCACCACATCAATGATACTCATGACGCTGCGCACGAATTTGTAGCGACTAGGAGCTGCCAGCAGACGTAGGAGATATTCGACTGTGAAGATCATGACACAGGCAGTATCCAGGCAGAAGAAAGCCACCGCATACCGCTCTCCACAGGGCAGCTCTTTGATGCGACCCGGGCTTACCCCACAGGGCACTGTCTCCACCACGTTGGCAATGACAGAGACGGCAATGAAGAAACCAGTGACATAGTAGAAGACCAGAGCCAGGGTACTGGTGTGTGGATTTTCAAAGGCCCGCCACATCCTCTGACGAGCTGTCATTGAGGGTAGGGAGCTCTCAGCTACATGATCCGTATCAGCATCATCCTGCAGGCGCTCAGCATTCTCACGACGGCGATCCTTGTACTCCTCATAACAGCAGTCACCAATGATCTCAGGGATGATGCCAAAGAAGGCCAGCTCCTCATCATAAGCTGAGATGCACTCCTGGCGGGGATAATGAAGCTTCCCAGTACGGTAGAAGTTGAGAATGTGGCGGAAAATGTCAGGGTCCCGATCAAAAAAGTACTGTTGTGTCTCGGGGTGGTAGAAGAAGTCCCGCTCTGAACTGCCCAGCAGAGTGTCAGGGTAGCGCTCTAAGGTGTCCAGCCATGTCTGGAACTGGATGCCACTCACATTCAGCACAATCAGAGAGTCCTGGCTTCGCTTTCTCTCCTGCCGTGGAGCAGCTGGCATGGGACCAGTAGCCACTGGCATCCATCCTATGGCTGCTGCCCTGGCAAAGGGTAACCAAGCTGCTACACCTGCCGCCATGGTTCCAAACACCTATTACAGCTATGGGAGTCAATCTAGAGACAGTGATGGTCCAGCCACTAAAATAGAGAGGGAAAAGAAAAATACAAATTCTCACACATTCTTAAGGCAGCAGAATTTCTCAACATATTTGTGATATTCAGTATTAACTGGAAACCTTTTTGCTTCCTTTTTGTTTCCTCCACCTTTTTACCCCACAGTATGCTTTCCAGGCGCTGGTCACACTGTTAGGACAATAAATGAGGGCACTTGGAAATCCCTGTATTCACAGCAGCTTCTCTAACAGCTAGATCCTTTGGATACAAGATCTCCATTCGAGCCCTCAGGATAGAAGCAACAGTCCTCAAATCAATAGCCCCTGGAGCCGGCTAGTAGCTCTAGTGCAGCTGTGCAGCCACCTGGAAGGAGATTTTCCTCCACGCGCGATGCAGCCGGTCCCCCCGCCCCTCCTCCGCCTGCTCCCCGCCCGCCGCCGGAGCCGGGCCGCGGCAGAGAGCGGAGCCCTTCCCGGGCGGCTGCAGCGGGGCCGCCGGCGCCGTCGCCGCTCGCCGTGGAGGGGCGGAGGGGATGGGCCCGGCGGGCCTCCCCCCTTCCCGGCGGCAGCCCTGGAGCAGCGGCGCGAAGAATCCTCTCCCTGACCTTTAATCGCCGTCCGGGGACTCCTCCAGACCCCAGCTAGGGTCCGGGGGAGCCGGCGGGGCAGGGGGAGGAGCTCCGGGCGGCAGCATTAAACTTTAAGGCAAGTTTTCCGTGCAGGAAATGCTTTGAAGGGCAGAGGGATGCCGGAGATGGGGCGCCGGGAGCGGGAAGCGCCCTACAGAGCAGGAGCGAACAGAGCGGGGCTCTCCCCCGGACGGAGCATCAGGGCACGGACAGGGCGGCGAGGAGACCGGGGTCGGGGAGAGCCCCGCGCTCCTGGCGGGGGCAGGGGCGGGGGCTTTGGAGACACATGCAGCAGCGGGCTGCACGGGGCATCCCCAGGAGCGCCCGAGCGGGCGGCGAAAGGCGAAGCCGAGGGAGGCTGGCTGTGGAGCGGGAGAGGGGCAGGAGCTCCCTGGCGGCGGGGGAGGCCTGGGACCGGGGCGGGCCGGGCAGGGGTGCGGGCTGCCGTAGGGCTCGGCGGCCGGTGGTGGATCATGCCCCCCCCACCATCCCCGTACCCCCGCCTCCTTCCTCTCGCCCCTTCCCCTCGGCTCAGTTCTCCAATCGCTCCAGACGTGCCCAGTCTGCGGCACCTACCTGTGAAAGTCTGGCGAGAGCGCTCAGTTGCATAGAGACTTTTGGAAATACGGGCTCTGCCGCTAGATCTCCGCGCCCCGCCGGGAACGGCGGGGAAGTAGTTGCTCCTGAGAAAGCTTGATCGCATCCAAAGGGACATCGATAATAAGGCTTTCCCCCACCCCCACCCCCCTCCGCCACCGCCGAGCGCCAAGCAACAAGTTCAAGGGGTGGGTGGGGGGAAAAAAACAACGTAATCGCGCCTGGCAGCTCTTGGAGCACGTCCTTGCGGGGCGCGGATCCTGCGGCGCGGGGCCGCTGTCAGGCGCGGCTGCGGCTGCGGCCGCTGCCCCTGCCCTGCCGCGGGCTGCGGGCGGCAGCGGCGAGGCCCTGGCGCGGCCGGGGGCGGGGAAGGGGGCTTCCCGCTGCCTCCCCCAAGGCGGGCGGGCCATGCCACCCAGCCGCGCCGCCGCCGCCCGCGGGCGAGGGGCGCATGGGCGGGCGGCGGTGCGGGCGCGGGGAAGCGCGGGGCGGGTGGGCAGGACATCGCTCCGCGGGCGAAACAAAAGGGCTCCGGGCAGCCGCGCCGGAGGCGGCAGGGCAGGCAGGGAGCGCGGCTGTGCCTGCGTGTGCGCCGGGTGTGTGCCGGTGTGTGTGCCGGTGTGTGTGCCGGTGTGTGCGCCGGGTGTGTGCCGGTGTGTGTCTCTGCGGGGCCGGGATCGTGCTGTCCAACCCCTCCGCCGGCAGCGCCGCACAGACCCTCTGGAGTTCGCGGTGCTTTGGGTAGGGATCGGGCGGCGGCGATAGCTTAGGTGAGGTACCGAGGGAATTTCTGGGGAGCGCTAGCTGCTTTCAAGGGAAGGGGAACCGTTCACTGCAAAAAAGGGGAAATGAGATGCCTGGGAGTGAAGTGTAGGATGCTCCTCACGACCCGCCCCGAGCCACTCCGGAGTTCTGGTTGCAATATCCAAATGGCTCTTACCAGCTTTTGGAACGGCGAGAGCTGGGACGGGTGTGGGAGCCTTTTCCTCCTCCTCTCCGTTCCGCTCCCGTGCCGAGCCGCGTCCCTTTTCCCGACGCTAGATGGCGCGTGGATGACGGGAAGCGAGCTCCCGCCGGGGCGCCGCTGCGGGCCCGCCGAGCCCCGCTCCGCTCCGCTCCGCTCCGCGCAGCCCCCGCGCTCTGCCCGGCCCGCCCGCCTCCAGCCCCTGCCGAGCTCGCGGCACCGCCGGGTCTCCGCGCTGGACGGGCACGTAATTCCCGAGCTCTGCGTGCCGCTCTGATAGCGCCGATAAATAGAGGGAATATAGGGTCTGTATTCTGAAACGACTCTATGTCTTCTTCATAGACCTTGCAAGAAGATACCAGAAGGAATTCCTCCTTCTAACTTGCCTGTGTTTCCGTTTGGTAGTAAGAGGTTTTGAAAAGAATAACTGAGTAAATAGGTTCCTTTAAATGTGAAGTTTTTACAACAAAACCTTCCACTCTGATAAGCTATTTGAGATACATGCCAAAGAAATCCAAAGCAAAATTAAACCGAATACACATTGAACTTTGGGAGTTAACTCTTTTCTGTATTTTAATAATAGCTCAGCTTCAGTATATATTCACTTCTAAGTTCCCATGAAAAAGATGAACACTTTCAATATTGTAGCCTAAACTACAACCTAAACTGTCCCTCCAAGTAATACTTGAAAGCACAGAGAGAAAAGGCTTAAAAATGTTTAAAGTGCAAACTAATACAGGAAAACTTGTGATGATGACTGATTACATATATCAAGTCACTTGAAATAAAATATCACATTAAATAAAAGATACTTTCTGTTTATTTACTGAACTTGTTTGTTGATTTGTCGCTTTGCTATTTTTTTCTAGTTCAAATATTCAGTACATAATATCCTATAAATTAATCCATTAAATTTAAATCAGTTGGTCAACTATAGGTATTGAGCTTTCAACGTTATGGATATTCTTCCATATGAAATGGGAGGTTTTGTTTGGTGCTATAGGACATTCCTGTAGAATTTATAAATCCCAGTTTATGATCCTGTCAGCTTAGTACTGATAAAATAATACAGGACTTCCTTTCCTGAAAATCAAGAGGTTTCCTTGTCAGCTATAGATTGTTTTTGTAATCAAAAACTGCTCTTATTTTTTTAGCATGCCAGCTTTACAAAAATCAGTTGCTGTCTTAAGTTGATTTTTTTTCTTTTAGAGTTTTTCCTGAATAGAAGTCTCAAAATAAAGCATTTTCTATCCACAGAGAGAACCCATAAGAATGGGTGCCATTAAAGAAACACCTGGATTCCTGTTGCAATCTTAAAGTTGTTTCAGAAATTTACAAGTTTCATAAAAAGATGGAAAAAAACCCCAAACAAACCCTATCTTTTTTTGGACAATTTTGGGTACCACATAGCGTTATAACATTTAGTCTTTTTTAAGTAAGAGGTTTGAAACCAGTTGAGGTTTAGAGACTTTTCTGACACCATTGCCTGTAAAAGTAATCACCTCACCTTAAATTTTTGTGGACAACCTGTATATCAGAGAGGCATCTTTCAAAAGCAGTACCTTGGAAGGAAAAGAGTGCACTCTATTGACTCCTTAATTAATATGTTACTGAGAAGCGATAGCCAGGAACTCAAACTTTCACAGCTGGTACCTTATGTTTAGTTCATTAAAATTGCCTGGCTGAAGCATTCCTTACTTTGTATGTTTCAGAAGGACTAAATCCTGCTACATAAGATGCACCTAAATAATCAGGTCTTCCTAAGTCAAAATCCTGCCCGTGAAATCAGAATTGGCTACAAAGAGATTGGTGTGATGTGACAGGGAGGATTATGACTTCAAGTAGGAATTAAATAGCAGGGACTCAAATGAGACAAAGATCCTATTTTCAAGGGAAGAAAATAAATCCTAGTAATTGTAGGAAAAGAAGAAAATGATACTAAGGGGAATGCACAATGGGCTCTAAGATGAACTGTTTCTTAATTCATTCTGAAGTCATGAGACACAAAGAACTCTCTGAGGATTAAATAAGCTACCAGCTATGATGCAGAAGTCTGTATTAATGAACTTTTTTTTTATTTATTTAAATATTTAAAATGTTTGAAACTGCAAGTTTTCTTTACAGATTGAGAGCACATGTGTATCCCCTCTTTTTAATTTCTCTAGTATTAAGACAGTTTTCTTTCCTTTTGAGAAAAGAACAGTGCAGATGGTGTTTTGTTTTGAGGTTTGTTAGGTTTTAATGTTGTTGGTTTTTTTTGTTTTTTTTTTTTTTAACATTTTTGGTTTTGGGTTTTTTTTAATAAAGGGAACATTCTGAAAACTGAATTTCTGAAAAGGGAACAAACTGAAAACATCTAAGTAGCAAAGTCCAATATAAGAATTTCTAGAATGCAGTCCCATTGAAGAACTAGGTTGTGAGATTAAGAATGTATCTCACAACAGAAAATGTTTGATTCTACCTTGCAAGTATAAAAAACCAGTGCTTTGGTCAAACACACAATCAGCCCAAATACCTATAGTCATAGCCTGCAGTTTCCTTGCCTTCATAGGTTTTGGGTTTTTTTGTCTAAATCTAGCTGCTTTTTGTGCTTTGGACCAGACAGAATAAGTGGAAGGCTTTTGATAATTTTTCCAAGATAAAATGCCATCTTTCTGGGAGTTTGCTAAAATAGGCTCAGGTCACTCTGCAGTGCAAGTGCTTGGTGTCCTTTCTATGCAGAGAAAAGGATTGCTCTGGACATTAAAAAATGACCTCTCACTGGTCAGTGATTGAGACATACTGTGGGGGGAAGTGCACCACATGCACCATTTCTTTTAGATTCTGAAGTCAACCTGAGACGTAGTATAGCCACCATTAACCTAAAAAAAGACCCTTACTTCTGTGGGAAAAGATTTTTTATGTATTTATTGCGTGTTTAGAGGCTGGAACATGAAGGCAGATCTGTCAGCATAGTAGTTTCTTTTTTTCTTAATGTGAGGCTAAGTCAATACTTGGAATCATCTCAAGAAAACCTTACACTCTTCCAAAGAAGAGACTAATTTGATCTCAAATATATGTGCTTTAACTTCTCTAAACCAACAAATACTGACTTAGTCATTATATATGTTTTTCTTGATGTATAGGATATTATATGAAACATTACTTCTGTTAAACTATGTATGTATTAGTCTTATTAAGCTCTGGGAATTCCTCTTCAGATTAGTGATATTGTACCCATCAGTGAAATGGTAAGTAACTTTTAAATTTTACTTTAGATAAATACATATTTCTCGTTTTGAATTCATGTTTTGTTTCATATAGTATCTTCAAACAAATATATTTTGTCTGTATAATGAGACCAAATTTCAACCAATTTAGCTTTAAAGATCTGTGGTATCTAGTTAGGAGCCTACTCTCCCTGAGTTCTTGGGGTCAGCAGAGGGAGAAACAACCCCAGAAAGCAATCTGTCCTAGCTACAATCTCAGTGTATGTAGGTAGGTGTCCACTGACTATCAAAGGCAGTCTGGGATGGCTGTGGTCCTTAAGTTATGAGCCTTTGCTTTAGGATACTTTGCATTTAAGCAAAATGGTCCTGAGACTTAGAGCCTGAGTCAGTCTGCTGCGTCAAAAGGAAACTACCCTGTACTTCAAGTGTCTTTAAGGTCACATCCTTAGAAAGAGAAACTAAGAGTGAATTCATGCAGAAAACTAATTAATGACTACAGTTCATACTCCTGGTTGCACTGAAGCACTTTGGGAAGTCTTTGACAAAGATGCCACTTGCCAGACTTTCTCTGTGTTGCCACTGCCACATTGCCAAGCACATGCAGAATCTTCAGTGTCATCAAACGCTCCTGTTTCACTTCATGAACAAAATTTTAAAAATCTATTTTTTTTTACTTCACAGTTTTTGACTTAACTATCTTTTTTATTTTTGTTCTCTATAACATACAGCATGGCAATCTTTCAAACTGCATCCAAACATTACCATTTTAGATACTGTTTTTTCTTTGTATTCCAGGAAATGTAGGGTTTGGATGCTAGCCACCTTCCTCTGCTCCTGCAAAAACCTCACAACGATCAATGGCTCCTTGCCTAATTAGTCCCATCTCTCTTATACTGTGAATCCTTTCTAAACTGTTTTGTTACTAGATTGGCTCTGCTCTTCGATACCTGACATAGAGGGTACCCAGAGACGGGTTTTGCAGCTCTGACTGAGAGTGACTGCAATTGTAGCCTTCCCATTTTTAATAACTGGCTTCTGTTCCAGCAAAACTTCCATCATTTCAAGTTTCAGCAGCTTTATAGGAATCCTATATGAAAGAGATGAATATGTGCAAAAATATAGTTAATAGAAACAATGTGTCATT